ATAGGGTACAATTACTATCACTAACTAAAAATTTATAAGTTCAAGTTCACCTTCAGACCCCTCAGTAGAAAGATCTGGCAATCTATTTTTTACAAAGTGACCACTGAATACAAGATGTTGTGCAGTTCTACTGTGGCATTGGATTCCCAACAATATACAAAAATTTACAAGAATATACAGAGGTTCAAGAATAAAATAAAAGAAAAAGCTTTCAAGACAAGATGATTGTACAGATATTAAAAGTGGAAACTGCATGAAAAAAGCAAAACTGAAATTTAGTTATTGGTGGATCCCTAGAAAATCTGACAGTAAATGTTTCCCTGGAGTGGGCTGGGGTGGGCTGGGGTGGAGATGGAAGCAGTGGAACAGCAAGTGATAAGAGAGGAAGCTGAGAGATGCCAGTGGAGCCTCACTTTTCTTCCTTACCCTCAGTGATTGAATATATTGCAAGTAGAATGCACTTACATAACACTTGTCAGCTTGGGGGGCGGGGGAAGAAGGAGAAGCTAGAAACAAAAATGACAAACAGAAAAGAAATGAGGACTGGAGGTGATCATAGCTTTCTCTAAGGGACAATTGGTCACGTGGCAACCTCCCCTCTAAGGATAAACACAGAGCCTAAGGCCCTGCACCTAGTTCGTACTACCACAGTCTACATTGGGAAGATGAAGCTGGGATGTAACAAGTCTTGTCTTATCTTGGCACAAAATGCTATCTGGCTGCTCATAGGTAAGTTGAGCACAGAATTTCCAAATGGAGTATTGTAATTCACAGGTTAATACATACCTAAGAGCCAAAACCAAACCCTTCCGTCCAGTCAGTTCCAACTCATACTGATTATCCACTGGATTGCTAACACTGCAGATCTTTTAGGGAGAGGGCATCATCTTCTTCCTGCAGAACAACTGGTAGATTCCAACCACTGACCCTTTGTTTATCAGTTCATAATATACTACGCTGCCAGAGCTCCTTGGTGCGTTTCTAGAATTTACTATGCGATAGGCAGGATATTGGGCATGTCACAGGTGTGTCATGTAATCCTTATAAAACAACCCTAAGAGATAGCTTCTATAATTACTACCTTGCTACAGAAGAGGAAATTTAGACTTGGAGGAAAAAATAAGGTCCTTTTTGAAGTTTACAGTGAAAGAGCTTGGGTACAAAGGCCGTCTGAACTCAGAACTCCTTCATACACCTTCTCCATCTGAGACGTCATTGTCTTTATTCCCCAGAGCACTCAGTTCTCAGCTTGTGACTTTTTTTTTTCAGGGCTCAAGGACTTAACCACTAAGCATATGATGAATGCCAATAGTCTGCAGTATTTCTAATACATGCCCATTTCTACACATTAAGATAAATGCATCTTATTTCCACCTGGAGCTATGCTTACAAATTAGGACTTAAACGTTAGAATGAATATGTCTTCTTTCCATTGGGGGCTATGCTTTCTACATTGTTTATTGAGAAATTTTCTTTTCTTTGTGTTTTCTAATAGATCTTATTGATTCTCTTCTCTCCTATTGGAAGAATTACTGAATCTAGAGAGATTAAAATGCTGCACAACCATAGACTTCATTACACTGCCGCCGAGCCTCTCAATCTAGACTTTCCAGCTTTCAATCTATTTCTTGTCTGTCACTCTCATTGTCCAGTGTTGTTCTGAAGCCATGGTGCGAGCTCAGGCATCACGAAGACACTGAGGTTTAAAAACAATGTGGTTTTGGAGGTTTTTTAAGAGACATGTCTAGATTCAAACCTCAGCTCTGCTTGTGATGAACTAGATGATATTATGATATTGGCATACTTTCGTTGAACCTCTCTTTACTCATTTATGGTAGTGGGATCAATACTAGCTGCTTTGCAGTTCTGTGCTAAAGATTAGCTGTTAGGAGGAAGTAAAAGTATGGTAAGCAGCCCAGTAAGGACTAGCTATTATTATCAGCTCAAACACGTGGAGAATTGCTTTGCAAAGAGCAGATTCACTCACTAAAATTCACCATGATGTCATAAACTGACTTTTAAAATAATGACTAATAGAATTGTTAAAGCATCTTTAACTAGGGTGTTGCTACAAGTTGTCATTGCTGTAAGAATTACAGTTGCTCCAATATTTTTTATGTACACATTATTACTTAATTGACTTAAAGTAATCTTATAGAGTATGCTATAATAACCTGAGTTGGTGATACTGTTTGCAGTATTATTGGTTATGAGATGTCCCCTGGAGGAAGTAGATAGAGAGGTGACATTGTGGCATTGCGTATGACTTCCTTTAGTCGTGGGTATCAATATGTGTTTCTGAAGTGGTGAGAATTTTTCTTTAGAGTTGAAAAAAAGGACCTGGAGCCACTGTTGGAAAAGCTATGGGAGATTAAGAGCAGAAAGCTTCACTGAGGAAAAAGTTGGCAGATAATCACTGCCTATAAGAGGGAGAAAGAACACCTTTGGAGAGTTTTTGTTATAGGAACTCAATTTGTAGGTTAAGAACATGAAACAATGGATGGAACAATGGACTTGCACTCTGATTGCTGCTCTATACACCTTCATTCATGAAAGGTTATTTGGTCTCTTAGGGCTATTTTCTGATTTACATAGTGTGATGCTGTGCACCTCGTAGTTCAGAATTCCCTGCCATGTAGGGACTCTGTAGATACTCTATGTATGTAACTGGTCATTGTTGTTGTTAGACACTCTTTGAACAACCAAATATTCATGACAATTCCAAGAAAACATTAAGAAACATGGCCTAGTCCACAGTATCCCATAATTGCTTATGGATCAGATTGTTGTGATTCACAGACTTCCCACTGTTAATTTTAAAAATGAACCTTTATTCTTAGTCTGCTTTAGTCTGGAAGCTCCACTAAAATCTATTCATCTTCACAGTAACACACCAACCTCTAAAGATAGATGAATAATGTCTCTGCAGAAGATGCATTGATCAGTAATTGAACTCTTCTGTTCCTTTCATTGAAATAGGCATACATACTATTGTCTGTCCATCTGCTGTACTGTGATAACTTGTGGTTTGTTGTAATACTGAAAGTTATGCCACTGGTTTGCCAAATGCCAGAAGGGTTACTCATGGTGGACAGATTTTAATAGAGCTCCAGATTAAGACAGACTAGGAAGCAGAATTGATCATCCACTTCTTAATAACAGGCCTCTGAAAACCCTATGAACACTAGTGGAACATGGGTAATTATAGTAGTGTAGTGGCAGAGTCCCAGTTGGAAATCAGTTGAAATGAGGAAAACTAATAACAAATATAATTTAATAACTGGAACCTGGAATTTACATAGTTTAAATGCTGGAAAACTGTAAATTATAAAATATGAAATGGAATGATTGAACATCAACATACTAGGCATTAGTGAGATGAGATGGACTAGCTTTGACCACTTTGACTTAGATAATCATACATTATACAATACTGGAAATTAAAAATAGAAGAAGAATAGTGTTGTATTCATAGTCAAGTCAAGTTCAAGTGAAATACAATGTTGTGAGTGATAAGATATAAACCATATGCATAAAGACTCATTAATATAACTTATATGCTCCCATATCTAGAGCCAGAGGAAGAAATTGAAAATGTGTAACAAATCTTGCAGTCTGAATTTGACTAAACATGTGGTCAAGATGTGTTAATGATAATTACTGACTGGATTGCAAAAGTTGGTAACAATAAATAAGGAACAGTAGTTGGAAAATATGGACTTGATGATAGAAATTAGGCAGGAAATAGAATGACAGAATTTGTATTTTCAATTATTTATTGGTTTCAAATACCTTTTTTAAGAGACACAAATGGACCTTACCTGATGGAATCAAATTAACTATATCTGTGGAAGAAATCATTGGAAAGTGCAATATTGGTAGTCAAAACAAGGTCAGGGGAAGACTGTGGGTCAGACCATCAATTAGTCATGTGCAAGTTCAAATTGAGAATGAAAAAAATTAAAATAAGTCCGTGAGAACCAAGATATGTTCTTGAACCTATTCCATCTGAATTTCAAGATAATCTCAAAACTAGATTTGAGGCATTGAACACCAATGATTGAATACCAGATTAGTTGAGGGATGACATCACAGGTATCATCCATGAAGAAAGCAAAATGTTATTACAAAGAGAAAGAAAAAAACTGAAAGGGATGTCACAAGAAACTCTATTGTCATGTCAGAAGAGACGTGCCATGCACTGTCCTTCGACCCTTCCAAGCATTTTACAGCCTCCAAACGCCAATGGTTTTACTACAGATTCTCTATCCAATTGCTTTTTGATGGACATTTGGGCTGCTTACATCTCTCTTTGTTATTGTGAATAATGCTTCAGTAAACATAGATGTGCATACATCTGTTTGTATTACAACTCTGATTTCTTTGGGGTATATTCCTGGTAGTGAAATAGCTGAGTCATATGGTATTTCTATTCTCAACTTTTTGAGAAACCAACTGACTGACCTCCTAGTGGTTGCTCTATTTTATATTCCCACCAGCAGTGTATCAGAGTTCCAATCTCTCTGAATGGATACTGAAACTGTTGTACATAGTTTCATTATCTAAACAGCGGCATATTACACAGCATTGAAAAACAATTAACTCATGAAATACTATACAACATGGATAAGTCTGAAAAACACAATGCTAATTGCAATGTCTCAGGCACAAAAGGACAAATACTGCATAAGACTACTGTCATAACAATAGAATGGATACAGCAGGGGTAAAGGGTATGGAGAACATGGACCAGAATAGGTGAAGGGGGGAAGCACATTCTAAAAGGAATGAACATTTAGGTATTGTATATATGACAGTTAACAATCAGGAACAGCAAAAGAATTACAAAGTGAATGAAGGGAGAGGTGGTTGTTGCTGCTGTTATGTGCCATCAAGGGGAGAGGTAGGAAGTAAAATTTATGGGTGTTGAATTAAAATAAATATTTTTGTAAAGATTACAATTAACAGCAGATTTTTAAAAGCCCAAGGGAGGATTAGCTATGAGCCTGTTTGGACTTGACGACAATGAGTTTGAGTTTGAGAACCTCACAGCCAGTGTGTGGAATGGCAATGTAGAAAACTCTTCCAATAAAGGATCATTTGAGGGTAATTTTTACCATTTAGTTTTTTCCTCCGTCCACGGCAACAGTAAAGTATTGTAAATGTGCTCCACTAGTTAATCAGGAATAGCAGCAGTAACAACAACAATTAATTGCTATTTCTGATTATTTGCATTTAATTAAAGGGTACTCTAGAGAAAATGAAGGACAGAATACCCTCAAAATGGAGCTTTATTTCTTAGATAATTGACTCTAATTTCTATCTTTATAGTTTCCCCTAAATTGTTTATTTGTCCAGATGGTTACTAAAAACTATGATTTTTGCCTCATTTGTTTCAATAGGTGATAGGGGTTTCTGATAAAAATTTATAGGACTTAAATACACAAAATACAGGTAGTTGTCAGACATGAACATATATCTTACAGGGTTTATTTTCTAGGTGAAAAAGTTAAGGACCATAGTATCATGGAATAACTCAGTCAACAGGTATAACATAGTTCACAAAATTTGTACATATCATCGGTCATATCTGGGGTCTTAAAAGTCTGTGAGTAGTCAGTTGAGACACAAGTATGGGTCTTTACTCACCTGAAATAAAACAAAATGAATGAAAATGAAAGTTGAAGGAAGAAGACAATTCTATACCAGAAATGCCTGATATCTTGAGATCAGAAGAGCTAGGTGATGCCTGGATGTTACCAAGAGCCATTCGGATCTTGTTAGAGTAGATCTTAGATAAAGTAAGAGAAAAACATGCAGAGACAAACTCAGATTTCTAAGTGTTGTTGTCATGTACTGTCGAGTCACTTATGACTGATAGCGAACCTATATATCCTGAAACCTACTCTATCCTGTGCCATCTTTATTGTCTCTGACACACCTACCCTCATGACCCTAGTCACTGAATCAGTACGTCTCATCAAGTGTCTTCCTCTGCTGCATTGCAAAGACTGTGGCCTGGATCAGGCTCTCCTTAGTCTCCAGGCTGACACTATTGTTCTTCAGTTCTCTGGAGAGGTCCCTGACAGCAGACTTTCCGAATGCAGTTTATCTTTTGAATTCCTAACTGCTGGTACCAAGATTGTTTGTTGTGGAGCCAAGCAAACTAAAACAATTAACAATCTCAGGCTCTTCTCTGTCTATTATAATGCTGCCAGTCAGCCCAGTGGTTAGAATCTTCATTTTCTTCATGTTGAGCTTCAATCCATATTGAAGGCTACAGTCTTTGACATTCTGCAGCAACCGCGTCAAGTCCTCCTCAGTTTATTTAAAAAATAATAATAAAAGGATTAAAAAGGCCAAACAAGATTCAACAGTTGAGAACTGAGGCCTTCCTGAAACTGTGAACTCCTGAGACACCCCATAAACCTAAAAATGAGCTTATCCCCTGAAATCATCTTTTACTGAAACAGCAGAGAGCAGCACAAATAAAGAATATAACCCATAAGATCAGTGCATGACTTAAAATCCACTTGTAGGAGACTAAAGAAAGGGTCAACAGTGGCTTAATAGCAAAGGTGAGGGGTGAGAAGAAAAAGGAGTGGGAAACTATTGAAAATGAAGGCGAGGATGGGGAACAACCAACAAAAACCAAAGAGAATTAAAAACTAATTTGCATGGTAAAGCTTCACTCTGCTTACAATAAAAACTTGGAGAATGCTAGCACAATATACAAATGTTAAGTAATGTCACTGAACAGTTTGTTGAGAAATGGTCAAATAGAAATCTGAGTTGCTCTGTAAACTTAGACCAAAGATACAACAAGGTATTATTATAAAACAAGCTTTAATGTTTTAGTTTTATTAGCTAAATTAAAGCTGCAATAGTAGAAAATTCAGATCTATGTTGTTTATGAAATTTATATAAGGATAATTAATTTCAATTAATTGCACATTGTACTTTTTTTCATGCAAATAATGACCTTTTTACTGTTGACCTCCAAACATTAGATTTCAATTTACAGGTCTAGCTTTCTCTTTAATGCTAAATAAACTCACATAATTCTAAAATTATTTATTACATTTTTCTCTGATTTATTCCTTTTGTCATGAGAGTCCATGTTTATGTCTGTAACTTCTATTTCATATTTTGAAAATGGAATGCAAGCATTGTATAAGAATACTCTGGCTTTGACTGAAAGCTGAAAATAACTAGAAATATGATTTGGGGATGTTCTCAATACTTCTTATGAAGTAACAGGCTTTTTTAGGCTTTTTGAATGACAGTCAAATTACATTGATTAGCTGAGTGTCAAAAAAAGGATAGCTATTATTTTTTTAATTTCTTGATGTTTTTCAGGATTTCTTTTCATGAGAAGAAGGATAACTTTACCGTGTTCTGAGCTAGTTTCTCTTACTCTGTGAAGTTTGTTCCCTTTTCAAGAAGTCTGTTGAAAACCATGTTTAATTCTAAGGAATTTGTGTATATAAAATTAAAAAAGCCCAACAAACCCACTGACAATTTGACAGTTTCTGTGTGTATAATTTAGTAACACTGACTACATTCTTCAAGTTGTGCAACCATTCTTGACAACTTTTTTCAAATTATTCTACCACAGCTAACTTAAACTCAATAGCCTTGAGCCAGATACACCCTCATCATCCCTCCATCCCACCTTTGTTAACCATTAATACTTGTTATTTCTTTATATCAACCTGAAAGACATCTTGTGGCACAGTGTAGAAAATATTGGACTGCTAAGTGAAGTGTCGCCAGTTTGAATCTACCAGGTGCTCTTCAGGGGGGAAATAGGCAGTCTCCTCTGTAAAGATACATAGCCTGAGAAATCCAATCAAGAGTCACCATTAGTCTGAATCAACTCAATGAGAGTGGGTAATATATTTGCTTGTTTCATATATATATATATTTAAAAAGCTCCCATTGCTGTCAAGTTAGAGCCAACTCAGAGCTGCCCTTGTAGCAGGCTTTTGAAGCTTTAAATAAACACAAGGAAAGATATGGCTCATCTTTTACGTGGAGTCACTCTGGTGGGTTCCAACCACCACAGAGGCAGTCTTTGAGTTAGCAATGCAAGTCTCTAGAGACCAGACTACGTGAGTTCCTTATTTAGCATAAGAGCGATCATAGAACATTTTTCATTTTATGAATGACTGACTTGATTCATCAAAATGTGTTGAAGGTTTCTCTTTGTTGGGGCATGCATTCAGGTGTTCATTTCTCTTTATGGCTGAGTAATATTCATTTATGTGTTTATACCATTTTTTGTTTATCTAGTGTCACCTGTTAATAGGCGTTTTGGTTGTTTCTACATTTTTGTCTGTTGCAAATAGTGCTACAGGGAATATAATGTAAATAGTTACGTGCCATCGAGTTGACACTGGCATGGCTGACCTCTAGTGGGCTTTCAGCAGCTATAAATCACCCGAGAGAAGATTTTCCACCTTTCTCCTATGGAGCATCTGGTAGATATTAATTGCTTGCCTTAAGGTTAGTAGCCTAATTCCTTAGTCACTAGGCCTCTGTTGTTGTTCTTGTTGTTGATTGTCGTCAAATTGAGCAAAACTCATAGCGACTCTATGAAGAAAAGATCTCATGCCTTTCCATATCTATTGTCATTTCTTCAAGTTCATAGGTTTTTCTGAGGCATGTGGTTTAGGAAGTGGATGCCACTCCTCTTCCAAACCTGTTGTATAACTGGGGAACTCCACCAAACACTGTCAACAATGGGAAACCATTATGGTATTCGATACTCCCATGGCACAAGGTTCAGCATCCCAGCAAACCCAGGTTACTTCATACAGCACATTGTCAAAGGGTGATGTGCAGAGTGGAAGAGTGGCCTCTGGAGCTTCCAAATACAATATATAGAAGAAATTATCTTTAAAATTGTACTTTTACAGTTAATGAGTGACTGAACTTTGTTTCTTCCCTTATTGTATCCCTAATAAATTTAACATGTAGATAGAGGCCAAGAAAGTGGTCCATTTGTCTCTCTTTCTCTTCTGTGATCTTGTTTGATTAAGGGAGGAAGTAGCTCAGGAACTCTTTCAGAAGACATTTCCCAAAAGAACCCAGCAAAACTTGCCATCAATCTCACTGGTCTCAATGGAGCCACATGGCCATCCGAAGCAGTGCTGTGACCAGGAAAAGGATTTTGATTATTTTGGAGGCCAAGTCTGCTGTCCAAGGGCTAAGAGTTGTTGAGTAGAGAAGGGAGGGCAACAGAATGAGAAGGAACTTCATGCAGTGTGTGAGAAAAGGGCATGCTGGGAAGGCTGTCACAGCTCCGTCTCACTGAACTGGGTTTAATGATAAGTTATACTGTGTCTGCAACAGCAGAAGCCTGGGGAACCTTTTGACTTTAGAGTGACTTTTGCTTCAGGATGGTCAGTGAATGTGAATTTGGAATCTAAAAAGTGCTCTTCCTAACTATATTTCTCCAAGGTTCATTAACAGCCAGTATTATAGAACCAATTCAAAAGGAACATGTTTTTCGTTCTTCTCTTATTATTAGCTGCAGGGCTACATTTTTTTAAATGCATAATGAAATCCATGGAATATTTAGAAAGAATGTGATGCTTTGCAAAATTGGCTCTGGGGGCTGTGCATAGTTGGAAGGAAGAGTATCTGGCAATTGTTTGAATTGAAAAACCTTTGGTCCGTCTCTAGGTTGCAGTTAGCCGAAAGCAGTTGGAAAAGGAGCAATTCAGTATGTGCGTGACTTTCAAAGGCTCTGTAAAGGTTCAGTACCTTTTCAGTCTTGTATGCACACTAGAGGAAGGTCATTTCCCCTAATGTGGATGAAGTCAGCCTTCCTTGCCTCTGTGGGGTTTTTGCTCATTTTAGACGATAAGAAACAGAGGCTGGCTATTGTTGGTGACAGGACAGTGTTTCAAGAGTAATGACAGTCACTCCTCCTTTTCCCTAAGGATTGTTAAAACAAAGTACACACAGACGTGGTAACTTTTTCTAAATAGTTATTATCATTTTCTCACCAAAGCCCTGTGTATACTCATCAGTGTAAAAGTCATAATACACAAGTTAGAATCTGGCCTTTGCCAGGAGCTGCCCCATCTGGGCACACA